ATAATTATAATTGTAAATAAAAAATAAAATATAAATATATATAAACTACAACAATTAAATAATGTAAATCACAACAAAATATAAAAAAATATTAATTAAATCATTACCTTTAATGCTTTTACTTGAAATTCTCCACATTTCCTACAAAACAAAAAACAAAAAATCTATAAATATAAAAGAAAATTGAAAAATGCAATAGAATAAACATATATATGTGAAAAATTTTAAAGTTTATCAAATTTAACCTAAAAAAAAAAAAAAACAAAAGTTAGTTAATGAAATATAAACATAAAAATAAAAATAAACCAATACAACAAAAAATTTAAAAAAATACATATGAGAAAACAGAAAGAAAGGAAAGAAAGGATGAAGAAGTGGAGAGAAAAAAGAGAGAAAAGAAAAGGAAATAGAAGGAAATGAGAAAGAAAAGGGAAGAGAGAAAAGAAGAGAGGAAATGACAAATAAAAGGAAGTAGAAAAAAAAAAGTAAGAAAAAGAAGAAGGAGACGGGAGGCAGAAGAGAAAAGAAAGGAAAAGAAAGAGAGGAAGAAGAGAAAATGAGGAAAAGGAAGAGAAGTGGTGATATATATTAGGCTTATACGGATCGAAAACGGTCCGTATAATTTTTCTTGGCGCGCCGCACCAAAAACTTTCAATTTTTTCGAGAAAATTTTTGGCGCATTAATAATATTCAGACCGAAATCGGTCTGAATATAAATAAATTTGCGCAGAATCAAAAAGATTCAAATTTACGGTAAAAATTTGGCGCATAAATTAATTACGGACCGATTTCAGTCCGTATATGTATCTAGAATACAAGTTATCACATTAATATATACGGACCGATGTTGGTCTGAATATATTGGGAAAAATATCTCTGCTGCACCAAAATATTTCAATTTTTTCGAGAAAATTTTTGGCGCATTAATAATATTCAGACCGAAATCGGTCTGAATATAAATAAATTTAAGGCAAAAATTTGGCGCATCAATTCATTATGGACCGGTATCGGTCCATATATGTATTTAGAATACAAGGGATCACATTAATATATTCGGACCGAGTTTAGTCCGAATATATTAGGAAAAAATTCACAGGGCACATTTTCATTCTTTTCATTTAAGGACATTACCATTTTCTCGTGTCCTCAATCCATATATACAGACCGGTTTTGGTCTGAATATATGCAAAGAATCCAGAAGCTTCCATTGTTTTCATTTTTCAGATCGATTTTGGTCTGAATATACAAGAAAAAATCCAGAAACTTCTCCCAGTTCACATTTTTATTCTTTTCATTTAAGGACATTACCATATTCTCGTGTCCTAAATCCATTCCTGCGAAAACCAATTGCATGTACATCGACCCTATAGTCCCTTGGAACCACAAAACCATCGATTGTCTACCTGAAATTATCTTACGATGGTACGGAGTAATATCGTTGCAAAACCACGAACGTATAAGTTGAAGGTTATTAGAGATAATGTTACGTAATGGTCTTTCGAAGCCACAAGCAAATAAAATTAATTTTTTTTTTATTTAGGTTAACCACTTTGGCTTGCAAACATTCGGAATGTTACGATTTAAAACGAGAGTAGAACGACTTAAGCATGAAATAACAAAAAAAAATAAAAAGCTGTTGTTAAGGGGCATATACGGACCGATCCCGGTCCGTATAAATATATAAGGACCGGTATCGGTCCAAATATAGGCACTCGAGGGATTTTTTATCTTACAGCTAAATTAAATTAAGTATGAATATATATACGGACCGGTTTTGGTCTGAATATATGCAAAGAATCCTGAACCTTCCATGCTTTTCATTTTTCAGACCGATTTTGGTCCGAATATACAGGAAAAAATCCAGAAACTTCTCCCAGTTCACATTTTTATTCTTTTCATTTAAGGACATTACCATCTTCTCGTGTCCTAAATCCATTCCTGTGAAAACCAATTGCATGTACATCGACCCTACAGTCCTTTAGAACCACAAAACTATCGATTGTCTACCTGAAATTATCTTATGATGGTACGGAGTAATATCGTTGCAAAACCACGAACGTATAAGTTGAAGGTTATTAGAGATAATGTTACGTAATGGTCTTTCGGAGCCATAAGAAAATAAAATTAATTTTTTTTATTTAGGTTTACCACTTTGGCTTGCAAACATTCGGAATGTTACAGTTTAAAACGAGAGTAGAACGACTTAAGCATGAAATAACAAAAAAATAAAAAGCTGTTGTTAAGGGCATATACAGACCAATCTCGGTCTGTATATATATACACAGACCAGGATCGGTCCGTATATATCATTTAAAAAAAACAAATAAAAAATAAAGAAAACAGATTTATTTTATTTAATAATTACGTAATATTACCAAATAATGCAAAAATATAT